TCGGATCATAGTTTTAATACTTTCAACACTTCTATACTTTCAACACTACTTCAACAATAATATAACAAATAATTCGAGGCTTATGTCACTGAAGATGACGCCTTGCAACATATTTGACGATAGCCTGTAAATTGATAGTTTGATCTCAGTATTTACAACAAATCATCTAGCTTGATTGATTCAAAGGGAGAATTAAATTCCTCTGTTACTCGGATCATATTACAATTTCGGACAAAAGTCGTTTTTTTGGTCACCTGATTGGACTAGAGTCGCTGTCGGGAAAAATTAACATAGATACATATAGACATCAATTTTTACGGCCATTAGGAACCAATAGTGTAATAAAATAAACCCTTTTAGCCTCCCAGTAACAGTTTAACACAGATATTTCCTTCATATTTTTATTATAAGATGTTTAACTAATTTACCTGGTGGCCTTCCTTATGAAATTTGTCAATCATTTCGTCAAAAAATTTTCTTTAGTAGTATTAAAGTATTAAAGAAAAGGAGAAACCGACTAAAAGCTAAAAAAAGAGTGATGTTAGGGTGGTTGGAGTAGTGTAGTACTAGTAGTGTAGTACTAGTAGTGTAGTAATGGTGTAGTAGTGGTGTAGTGTAGTAATGGTTGGTAGGGAGGCTTCTGTTTTTGATGTATAGCATTTTAGTCACTCAACTCAGTCGTCACTAATACATTGGATGTTTAAAAACGGTAAGTTACCATAGTTACTGTAGTTACCATAGTTACCATGATAGTTACCGTAATTAATTAACATTGGTAACGTTTGGTTGACTTTGCATAAACCTGTTGTTCGTTTGATTTTCAGAAAATATCTTCTTCTTCTGATTGGTCAGCGTCGACAGTAAGCCTTCCTTACAGTGGCTTCCCCAACTCCTGATGCTGGAGAGAGGGACTCCCAAATTATATACCATAAATATATTTTCAGAAAATATATAACTATAAGTGACACATGCTCACTTAATTCGGTGATGCTGTTGATAAACAACTGCCAAATCATTTAACTTGTTTACCTCAAATTGAGTTGGTGTTTAATTCACCCTCTTTACCCTCTCTAAATACTTCCCTACCATCATGATGGTAACTATGGTTAGTTACCATAGTTACCAAGCAAAAATATTCGGCTCTGCCAGCTGTTATAAATGATCATTTCCTTCGATTTCATAATTCTGTGACATTAATAGTTTAATTATCTTGTTGGGGAAATGAAATTAATTGTAAGTTTGGCGAGTGGTGAGAGGGATTAATATAATTTAGTACAGTAAAAGTAAATCAAGGTGAAGGTATGTAGAGCTTCTAGGAATACAAGTAATATTCTGTAGATTATATAATAAAGATGCAGCTGTGCAGCGACTATTTTGCAATCTTTGGGTGTTTAGCTGAGCACTTAAGTCTTGCAAAATAGCTGCTGATGGTTGCGGCACGAAGCGGGTAACTATGGTAACTAGAAGCGGGTGTTGTCAGTCGTGTCGTGACGGGGGACCTGCAGAACTAGGCATTTTAATTATACCTGGGGGCGTTGGTTAAGATGTTGATAACAGATAACTGACACATGCGGTTAATAATTCTCTGTCAAGAGAGCGTCAAAAAACATTATCATGACCTAGATATAATTATTATAGATGTGAGTAAACTGTTAAGTGTTTGATAAATATACCCCTAAAAATATATAAATCTGGTCTATAAAATTAGAGGAGATGCAAATTGCATCTCATCAAAAGTTATTTCATTAATTGCTACCATCTTGATAATCTTTTTCCTCTAATAATATTAATCTGCAAAACCATAAAAGTCACGTGAAATTTAAAGCCCTGGTCACCACTAATGGATTTAGTTTAAAGCAGGCAAAGTATTTATCCGACCCCAAATCAATTTCCAATTTTACTTTGATGTCTCGAATTTAAATTCATGTTTCGATACTTCATGTGCTGATGCGTCTGCAAGGAGTACGTTTATCGGCCACTCCAGTTTACTCTGATTATCGAGTGATATCCGCTCTAGAAAGCACTGTAAAAACATACTCAGTGGTGGCCATAAATTACGTTACAGAGATTGGCGGAGGAAATTATGACTTGCCACGAAGAAACTTCGCCTCCTAATGTTGGAGTATGATTTTTATAGGGAGGATCGGTTTAGGGAGTTGAGGTATTGATGATTTTAATAAATACTAAGAAACTATAATACCAATATCTAATATGCGACAGAATCATCAATTGCAGAAACCTAAAAGGTTTCATCTCGTCGGACAAGTTATCTAAACGGAGGGTTTAAGGCTGAAGTTTTGACAAAGTTATCCAACTCACCTTTTGTCATGGTTACCAGCCACTCTTCAACTCACCGCCAAGATAGTTGCTACTTGCTAGGTACTTGTGATGAACTCTACACAAAGTGCAAAGAAACTGCTGCTAACTGCTGCTAACTGCTGCTAACTGCTGCTAACTGCTGCTAACTGCTGCTAACTGCTGCTAACTGCTGCTAACTGCTGCTAACTGCTGCTAACTGCTGTTAACTGCTGCTAACTGCTGCTCACTGCTGCTAACTGTTGCTTACTGCTGCTAACTGCTGTTAACTGCTGCTAACTGCAGCTGCTAACTGCTGCTAACTGTTGCTTACTGCGGCTAACTGCTGCTAACTGTTGCTTACTGCGGCTAACTGCTGTTAGCTGCTGCTAACTGCAGCTGCTAACTGCTGCTAACTGTTGCTTACTGCTGCTAACTGCTGTTAACTGCTGCTAACTGCAGCTGCTAACTGCTGCTCACTGCTGCTAACTGCTGCTCACTGCTGCTTACTGCTGCTAACTGCTGTTAACTGCTGCTAACTGCTGCTAACTGCTGCTCACTGCTGCTAACTGCAGCTGCTAACTGCTGCTAATTGCTGCTAACTGCTGCTAACTGCTGTTAACTGCTGCTAGCTGCTGTTAACTGATGCTAACTGCTGCTAACTGCTGCTAACTGCTGTTAACTGCTGCTAACTGCTGCTCACTGCTGCTAACTGTTGCTTACTGCTGCTAACTGCTGTTAACTGCTGCTAATTGCAGCTGCTAACTGCTGCTCACTGCTGCTAACTGCTGCTCACTGCTGCTTACTGCTGCTCACTGCTGTTAACTGCTGCTAACTGCTGCTAACTGCTGCTCACTGCTGCTAACTGCAGCTGCTAACTGCTGCTAATTGCTGATAACTGCTGCTAACTGCTGTTAACTGCTGCTAGCTGCTGTTAACTGCTGCTAACTGCTGCTAACTGCTGCTAACTGCTGTTAACTGCTGCTAACTGCTGCTCACTGCTGCTAACTTTTGCTTACTGCTGCTAACTGCTGTTAACTGCTGCTAACTGCAGCTGCTAACTGCTGCTCACTGCTGCTAACTGCAGCTTCTAACTGCTGCTAACTGCTGCTAACTGCTGCTAACTGCTGCTCACTGCTGCTAACTGCTGCTCACTGCTGCTAACTGCTGCTCACTGCTGCTAACTGCTGCTCACTGCAGCTGCTAACTGCTGCTAACTGCAACTGCTCACTGCTGCTAACTGCTGCTAACTGCTGCCCTCCTGTTTCTAGAAGGATGGTCTGTTCACCTGGAAGCCCATATAATTTCAGTTCAGAAACCGAGTAAGGAGGTGCAGCTACTGATGAGATTCATGAGAAGCCTCCTTAAAGTTAATTTGGGTTTGCAACGACATCTGGGTCCCTACCCTCGCACAAGATCATTTTTAATTTTCTTGTTGTGTTCCACAACCGCACTCCTTCTTTCATCATCTCGATCAACTGTACAGGTTGGAATGAAGAGTGGCTGGTAACCATGACAACCACCCTCGGCCTGGTAACCATCATATAGGAATAGTATAGGAATTCTAATTCCTATAAGTTGTGAATGAGGTTCACAGATCACCCTCTAAACCTACAAGGAAATATTTCCTGTAGATTCTCGGTATATAATCAACATTCGACAGAGCATCTTGTGGAGTGAGCTATGTGCCAAGCCTTGGCGAACTCGGTGAATGTCCTTGCTGTACGGCAGTGTTAAACAAGGAACTGAAACCGAAGGGTTCCGTTCAGGCCCTTCACACTTTGTTTCTGTCTGGTTCTAATAAACCGTTACAATAATGACTTTAATATATTATACTTATATAGCATCGTGAATGACTAGTCTCCCAAATCCGCTTCTTTAACTTCATATAGATTTTTTGAATCGACGAATAAGAAATATGTTAACATTCAATATTGTGCAGAATTGTGTGTACTTAAGATTTGAAATCGATTGATATTTAAGATGTATACAATCAATATAGTGCTGGATTACTAAGAGAATTGTTAATTGGACTTCAACGTAAGCACGATACTGACGGAGGTTACTGTGTTTTCGTTAATTGTAGAGTTGTAATCCACAGGTAGCAAGCAATTGTAGTGCTATTAAAGTGTGGGATATGACGATAAACTGATAGTAATACTATAATATATAATATAATATAATAATATATGATATATAATAATATAGTAATACTAATATCAAATATGCTGCTTATAATGTGTGTTCTAGATTTAAATTTGTAATGCATATTTATCATGATCATTGATCACTCATTCAATAACACTTTAATGTAATATTCGAGATTTAGAATTTTAACGTTAAGTCAATTTTTATCAGGAATGCGAGAAGTATGAAAACAACTTGATTTATTTAAGTTATATAAAATCAAAATAATTAAAAATAATTTAACAATTATTGAATATAATAATAAACCGCCAATATAAAATAGAATTAAAACTCTCTATCTGATTCGTGGATTAACGATGGAATATAACAAATCAATAGATTACGTTAACCATGAAATAGAGGTGACATAACCTTTCTTTTCTAAAGGGGTCGTTCACATATTACGTAATCAGCCGAGGGGGGAGGGGGTTCCCAAAGTATTACGGTTGATTAGGGAGGGGGGAGGGGGGTAAAAATTGCTAAAATATTGATTACGTAATATGTGAACGACCCCAAAGGGAAGGGCGAAAATTCGCAATTTTGATACATAAAGTATTGTAACGCATGCTCGGAAGTTATTATTTAGAAAGTTCTGTTCAGTCATTGAAGTGAAAAGCTAAGTCACCCTCCTAATTCATGGTTATCTAACCTATTGTCAATCATAAAGGTCACTTGAGATAATGAGATCGGGAAAACTTTCAGAAATAGTTTTTAGAGGTCGCCAGAATAAAAATTGTAGAGGCCTGTATAATGACAAATAATTGTTAGATTGTTGAACACTTTTCAGTCGACTTCGTATAGCTTTTTTATCGTGAACCAATGTTCTTTGTGTAGGATTTTATGAAACTGTTGCAGATAAACATAAAACATAAAAACAGTTAAAATTGTTCGCATATTTCTCCCATACCAACAAGTGTCTGAAATCGTTCGTTCGCTCCGCATAGATTAAAATTACTTCGCCCTTCAGTTACACTACTAGTTACCATAGTTACCTTCAGCTATAGCTCCAACTCGTCGGGAATAACTTTTTGTAATTCAGTGCTTCAACCCCAGCAGGCATTAGATAAATCCATTGGATTACTATTGACTATGATGTTAGGATAAGTAGAAATAGGAATGGCAAGCTTAGAACTAATCTGCCGGCACCTGACACAACTGAAAAATGTGTAGATTGTTAAAGCATGCCTTCAAAACCCAGTGATATCCTGAATGAGCCTTATATTCAATATCTATTGCATACATAATCTTTTTATGTATAATATTATGTAATACATACATAATATAATACTGCCGTTATCACTTATTCAAAACATCTAAAAAATGAAAAAGAAACAGAGAAAATGATTTGTTCTTACCTGTCAATCGTAATGATTGGTTTTTACCTGTCAATCGTGACGAATCAAAAGTAACAAAGGGTCCTTGAAATATGTGGTACTCTTTAACTCCCTCTTCTGCAGCTTCATCCAGTGACCTTCTCTGTATTCTGTCTGTTATACAGATATCAGAACAGCTGTAAAGAGATTAGTGATTCTGTCTGTTATACAGATATCAGAACAGCTGTAAAGAGATTAGTGATTCTGTCTGTTATACAGATATCAGAACAGCTGAAAGACATTAGGGATTGAATGACAACTAATAATATATCAGTAAAATTATTATAATCATTTTCGAGCCCTGATAGATTTGTTTGATATTTCGTGTACCTGTTGCTAGATTTGTTGCATATTTTTACGAAGGCGTGAAGATACACTACTGACTGACTACTCATAAAATGGAAGGCTTTCAACGTGAATCGTCTCTTCTTTAGGTTATTTGTTTCGATATACTTGAAGGTAGAATCTACTATACACCTGGGAAAGAAATGTACTTGAAAATACCATACACTGGTGACAGGAAAAATAATGAATTTTTGTACGATGAAACTTTTATGTTTTTGACGAACTTTTGCTTAAACTTGTTTAAACAGCGATCTGTTGTCATGGTTACCAGGGTGGTTGTCATGGTTACCAGGGGTACTCACCCATTTTCTACAAGGCTGTAGGCGAAGGAACCTCCACTGCCACTCGGGCTATCACTAGCTCTAATATCTGCTATCTGCAGAGAAAGATTTTCGTCCGGAGATATCAATGCTACCTGGAAATGTCGAGTTCAATCAATAAATCAATTAATCATTTGTTATTGTTCCTACTCAAACGAAACGATGTATGAATTTAATGTCAGCTGACCTTTTAAAGCATTCTACTTCCAGGTATGAAAATTGCAAACTATCCAGCTTAAAAAGAAAGAGAAAGAGAAAGAGAAAGAGAAAGAGAAAGAGAAAGAGAAAGAGAAAGAGAAAGAGAAAGAGAAAGAGAAAGAGAAAGAGAAAGAGAAAGAGAAAGAGAAAGAGAAAGAGAAAGAGAAAGAGAAAGAGAAAGAGAAAGAGAAAGAGAAAGAGAAAGAGAAAGAGAAAGAGAAAGAGAAAGAGAAAGAGAAAGAGAAAGAGAAAATTTATCTGAACTGTACCTCTAAATATATGTCATCTTGAACTGACAATCTTACAGGATACTGACTACTGTCCCTCTTCATAGTAAAGTTAGAACTCTCGTACAGATCCAGAACGAATGTGAAGGAGCCAGCTCCTTTAATGTCTACAGTGATCTGACCCCTTGCTTCCCAAGCTACGTTGTCCGTGTTCCCTGTGCAGAAATTAGAAATTAGAAATTAGAAATTAGAAATTAGAAAACCTGTGTATAAAAGGTTCGTTTGGTTATCGTGCGTCTAAATTTTGACGACTAGACAATTTTTCGACTGTCAAGTGAATGTTTGGGTAAACGAGACACCTTACAAACATTGTGTTTGTAATTTCGATGACTAGACCATTTTATTCATTTAGATAAGCTAGGCAACTTACAAACATGGTGTATTCTTTTGAAAGAAAGAAAAAAGGAAGATTTTTTGCAAATTGGCTCCTATACCTGTCCTCTTATAAGCACACTCGAAGGTAATGTGAAAGTTATCTCCTCTGCTAATCAGACTACCACTTTCAACCCCACCGTTAGCCACCCCTGTTACCTGTTGAGTTGAGACACAGTTAATAAACTGCGGAGTAGCTAAAATAAAGTATAACCCCACCGTTAGCCACCCCTGTTACCTGTTGAGTTGAGACACAGTTAATAAACTGCGGAGTAGCTAAAATAAAATATAACCCCACCGTTAGCCACCCCTGTTACCTGTTGAGTTGAGACACAGTCAATAAACTGCGGAGTAGCTGAAATGTAATACAGCAAAACAGAAGGCTCCAACCAAACACTCCACCTACTGATCCTAACCACCCATAACAACTCTCTATCTCTCTCTCTCTCTCTCTCTCTCTCTCTCTCTCTCTCTCTCTCTCTCTCTCTCTCTTCTCTCTCTCTCTCTCTCTCTCTCTCTCTCTTCTCTCTCTCTCTCTCTCTCTCTCTCTCTCTCTCTCTCTCTCTCTCTCTCTCTCTCTCTCTCTCTCTCTCTCTCTCTCTCTCTCTCTCTCTCTCTCTCTCTCTCTCTCTCTCTCTCTCTCTCTCTCTCTCTCTCTCTCTCTCTCTCTCTCTCTCTCTCTCTCTCTCTCTCTCTCTCTCTCTCTCTCTCTCTCTCTCTCTCTCTCTCTCTCTCTCTCTCTCTCTCTCTCTCTCTCTCTCTCTCTCTCTCTCTCTCTCTCTCTCTCTCTCTCTCTCTCTCTCTCTCTCTCTCTCTCTCTCTCTCTCTCTCTCTCTCTCTCTCTCTCTCTCTCTCTCTCTCTCTCTCTCTCTCTCTCTCTCTCTCTCTCTCTCTCTCTCTCTCTCTCTCTCTCTCTCTCTCTCTCTCCTCGTGGTGCACAAAACCATTCCAACCTATGTATGTCCCCTCTACGGGTTAAGTGTTAAGTATGTTTAGGGTAATATTACTGATATCACTAATATTACTAATATCTTGGATCGTATCGTTATGTGGGCAGACTTTGTAGAACTACTTTTCAATCTGAATTCGGCCCACTCTTATAATTCACGTCTCAATGGTTATTTCATGGGCAGTGAAACTTGACAACAGATTAAATTTAAAAGCTTTACAAACCTGGTTTTTATAAATAATGTGAGAGTCGTTGTAGTAAGCTTTTGTTCCACACCTTTCTAAAGGTGTTACGATTTCTTGGGACTCCCCCAGAAACTCGCACTCTGAAATTTAATTTTTGAAATATCTTTATTTTTATTGGTTTATCGTTCATCATTCAAAAATTGTGCTTTTGGAGGTAATGAGTTAGATTCGCACTGATACTTTAGCAATGTATTCAGTGGCGTAACGAAGGGCTCCGCTGACCCCGCTGTGCGGGGGCGCCATCTTAAAATCACCTAATTTGTTCAATTTTAGAGAGGGCGCCAAAAGGGGGGGGGGGGGGGGGGGGGGGGGGGGGGGGCAACAGGCAACGTTACACCACTGATGTGTACACTACAATTTTGGTCCCAAACCTTTACTTACCACTATCAAACAAGTGGAATATAGCAACGTTCCTCCTCTCAGTCAGAGACAGTACCATCCTATCTCCGTAACACTCCACCGTAGCTACCACTCCTTTTGTAGGATCCGTGGTGTCTTCGTCAGCTGAGAAATACATTGTGTTGGAAGCATTTGTGTTGTTTTAGGATATAGTGCGTTTATGTCATGCATCATATTGAATTTGTCGTCAGTTTTTTAAATCATTAATCAGTACGTGGTGACGTAAAATACATTTAATGCATTTTTGTAAGAAAACGATTTTAAACCGAGAATCATGCGAGTAGTTCCAAAATGCGGACTGCTGGTATGAATTTTTAACTCATTGTATTGTAACAAATTGGGTAAATAATAAGTACTTCACACTAACTTACCCAATACATGCAAATAATAAGTACACTAACTTACCAAGTACCGTAACCCTGGTGCTCTGCCTGACAGTCCCGTTCTTGTTCTCTACGACACACGTAGCTGACATGTTCTGTAACTCACTCAGGTCTATTTGTAGGATGGGGTCCGAGCTCAAGAGGGTGTTATCCTCTCCGTACCATCTGGGGGTTTTTCCAGGTGAAGTTATGATTTTATTTCTATATAATGGTGACTGTGGAGTGTGGAGTCGTTTGTTGAAAAATTCGAGCTGGAATGTGTAAAGAACTCGTAAGAATTCAAGTTTACAATCATGTTTATTATTCTGTAGATGATACCTGATATCAAGCGGAGGAGTACCCTCCCCCTTGCAAATTATCTCTGTTGTTTTTCCCTTGCCCTGTGTAAAAACCATCTCCTCCGCTAAATCTTCAGCAAATCCTAGCTCCTCTGAAATTTAATATAATTAGAAAATCTTTAAAAGCTATGAAACAATAATGTCCACAAGTAAACTTAAAGTTAATGAATATATGAGTTTTCAAAATGATACCAGTGATAGTATAACCCACCTGAGTAGTCCACAAAGAGGGTTATGTTGATGACACTAGATCCTGCTACGTTAGTTCCCTGACACAGAAACAAGCCGGCTAGGTCCCGGGTTACACTGTTCATCTGCAGCACCTGGAATATGGGGACCTTTAGTAATAATTATATCACCTGGAAGATCGTCCTTTAGCCATGATTATTCGTGATCATTTCTATCATAACATAGTGTAATAACTCTTCAAAACTGGATTTTGTGTTTACCTGTTTTTCGTACTGGTAAGAGAAAGTGGTGTTGACATCAGAGATCTCTGTTTTATTAGAAAAGTACCACCTGCAGAAACCCGAGGATAAAATTTGTGTTTGCTTAACAGTTTACATAAGGTTAGTCTGTATTATAAAACGTATAAAAACACCTTATATATAGAAACTATGTAGAGTTTATAAACTGTCTCTAACCTGTAGGTGGGATAAGGGACCCCTTGGAAGGCACAAAGTAAACTATGTAGAGTTTATAAACTCTCTAACCTGTAGGTGGGATAAGGGACCCCTTGGAAGGCACAAAGTAAACTATGTAGAGTTTATAAACTCTCTAACCTGTAGGTGGGATAAGGGACCCCTTGGAAGGCACAAAGTAAACTATGTAGAGTTTATAAACTCTCTAACCTGTAGGTGGGATAAGGGACCCCTTGGAAGGCACAAAGTAAACTATGTAGAGTTTATAAACTCTCTAACCTGTAGGTGGGATAAGGGACCCCTTGGAAGGCACAAAGTAAACTATGTAGAGTTTATAAACTCTCTAACCTGTAGGTGGGATAAGGGACCCCTTGGAAGGCACAAAGTAAACTAGCCGATTCTCCCTCTTTTACTGTTGTATAATATGAAGCTATTGAGGGCGAAGGCTTCTCTGAGTCATCGTCAACGTCACCTGAAGAAATACGTTATTTACTTTTTTTGTCGGAATTAAAAGTTGGGATGTACAATATCTTATTCTTTAAAAATGTGAACAGGAGTAAAATCTTTGCCATATCACGTTAAGTATTGAAAACTCACTGTCAATCCTTTGTGTAACATAAAGTTCTCCCTCTAGACTAGTCCTTGTTTCATTTGTGATAGAGTTGTCAGCAATACACTGGTAATTACCGCTATCTTCAGGCAGTGTTCCTGGGAAGGTCATGTCTGTTAGTCAGTGAAAAAGATTCATCAAAAAGGTGAAATATTTGGCATTTGTCACAGCCAAAACTAAATCATTAATCAAAAAACAATTCAATATGATAATTATCTAATTGTTTTTGATAAGTTATTGTTAACGTACCTACTATTACTAGCGTATAGTTTGATCCCATGTACGATCGGGAGTTTGATATCTGAAAGAGAAAATTAGGTTAGACGCCCGCGGTTAAACTACGCACGATGAATTTTCCCTACGATGTACTTGTACCATTAATTCTTGAAAAGTGTGCAACATTGAACATATTTACCATATTTACATACTATGTTTTTTAATAAATGAGTTGGATTTACGCATGGTAAAAATTGACGATTTGTTTGACCAATTTAGCGCCGCGCATCAACAATAAATGAATCCAGAAAATTGCGGAAAATAACAAACGCTTCCTATACACATAATTAATAATTATAGGGGAGTGGTCTATATTGCGAAGGAGCAGACTTTTGTCATCAACGTAGCGCCATCGGATCACCTCATATATCCAAACCCGATTACTTATTTCCTCCGATCTTTTTGCCTTCGGCAAGAGTAGGGGGAAAAATTGAGTGAACAGTGGGAATTGCCTCAAAACTTATACTGTATACAGCTGTATACTTGTATACTATCAGACACCACTTTAATATCCCAACCAAATAATACACACTCACAGGCTTGGTGTCCTTATGCCAGGTAACATTGGCTGGTGGGTAGCTAGCAGGAGGTGTGCACTCGAACTCTACAGTGCTGCCCTCCACAGTGTACACTTGTCCTGGTACTTTCAGAAAGCGATCCTTTAGATCTGGGGTAGAGATCAATCAATGACGAAATAAGTTTTATTTTACATTCCTTTAATCATGTATATATTTTGGTTGATTTTAGTGAGACAGGGTCAGTTTGTTTAATGTTTATGACCTTAAACATTTCTACTTTACAGTGGTAAATGCTGAGTGACAGGAGGGTGTTATGATGGGAGTGGACCTATAAGGGTGGACCTTTTTCTTTTTTAAGAGAGGCTGGACCGATAAGATAGCCCACGAAAGAATAACATGAGGCTCTGCCTGCCTCTGGGGTATGGCAATCCTGAAGAAGGTTGCCAGAGTTATCTATTTGGAGATGATGGCTAGTGTCAAGTGAAATGAGGGAGGGGGTGAGTGGACGCTTCAAGGAGAATTAGAAGGGAGGAACTATAATGAGAGTGGTACTATGATGAAGACTTGTGAAATATAGCTGAGGTTCCCAGGCTCCGGCTCTTGTGTGATTTACAATCAGCGTTTGGATCCTATGACCTAGATTTTGACATGATACGCATCAATTCTGATAGTATGTTACTTACTGTGGTAACTAGTAGTGTAACTATGGTAACTAGTAATTCTGATAGTATGTTACTTACATGCAATCTTAAGCCGGGTGACATTGCTTCTCACTAACTCCTCGTCGTTTAAAACAGCTTTGCAGAAGTAGAATCCCTCGTATGACGTCTGTACGCTCGAGTACTCCAGTACCTCCGACTGTAACATTAAACTAATTACAACACTACAAATATATTACATTTATAGAGAATTATGTAATGTAACGTGATGGAAATATCTTAAACGGGCATATCCTGTCCAACCCAGGATGCACTACATGAAGAATTCGTTGTAACGTGTTTGAAAAGCATTAATTAAATAGGTTAACTCATGACTTGGTTATAACACATATGGAATATGGATGATCACCTTTATAAGTTTACACAAAGAAATACCAATAAATAATTGTTGTATGTATGTGCTACATCTACTGTTGTATGTGCTTCTAGTTATAAGTCTTTTCTGCGGAAGTCTGAATACATGATATAAAATTGTACTATAATAATAAAACGATTTCGCCCGTTTAAAATTCTTCACACGCGGAAAATAAAAAACCAGACACGTGAATCTGTGTGCAGAATCAACCATAGGCATAACAATCTACTAATAGTAATAAGCTAATACAGTTAAAGTTTGACAGAAACGTTTAATCTCCTGTGTGATCTCTGACTATTGTGGGTCCTTCTGTTTGTAATAGCATGCTAATACATCGTGTAGAATTGAGAAGTAACTTAAGAACTTAGCAGAAGTATGGTTAGCAATGGGTTCAGTTTGGTCATCATGGTCAGGGTTCAGTCCCGACTTTTAATAAAAGTCGGGACTTTTAATAAAAGTTTTATATACTTGGGTTTACATACTTGATGATATTGGTTTACTATGTGGGATGTGTAATCAGTGTAGCTTGTGTTGCAAATATCGAGCTCTCTTATCTTTTGTAAATTTGCAATAAGTTCAGTTTGCTGTTACCGCGTAGTTTACCTTTGCGTGTGTACTTGTACATTACTATACAAGTACACTATGGGGGATGACCCAACTTTGACCCGATCCCAGGAGTTGATTAAGGAGTTCAACTATGATCAACAGGAAGATGTGGAAGGCTGTGTTGCACGCTGGTCCGATCAGTTAGAAAAAGACCTGCATATGGACTACCGTGAAATTGACTACGAAAGTCGTGAAAAGATCAAAACTAAGGATAAACAGACTCTGTCTAGCTGGATTGTGGATGCAGTGGACCTTGTTCGTCGGCAGAGTAGTCAGATGTATCTCTTGAAGGAGATCATCGAGTGCTTCAAGACGGAAGCACTAGCAGACAAAGAAAAGGTGATCAGACTGCAGGGCCAGCTGCTAATGCAGAAGGACGAACAACTACAGTTGCTTAAGACTTCTGTTGAGGAGACAGTCCAAACAACGGTGGATTCAGGGATTCAGAACTATAGTGCAGCTGTTCAACAGAACAGTGCAAGTGGTACGGTCTGTAACAGTAAAATCCTGAAGAAGGTGATGAAGAGTGTGGCTGCAGAGGAGGACAGGAGCAAGAACCTGATCGTGTTTGGGCTGAAAGAAGAGGAGGAAGAACAGCTTCCAGCGCTAGTTACCGCAGTTTTGGAGGAGATCGGGGAGAAACCTCACTTCGAAGCGACTAGAGTCGGTTGGAAGAGGCCAGGTAGTACGGCTATCCGACCAGTCAAGATCACCGTCCCAAGCTCAACAGCGGTTCATCAGATTCTGATGAAAACAGGGAGACTGAGGGAGACGCACAAAGATGTATGGATATGTCCAGACAGATCCAGCGAAGAACGAGCAACAAGGAAGCATCTGGTCACTGACCTGAAGAAGAAGAGGGCGGAACAGACTCATCTCGACCACTACATCCGGTACGGGAAGGTATGTAGCCGTGATAAGAAGTCATCATGAGTTACACTCTCGGACACTGATCAGTATATGAAGGAGTGATGATTATTTTAAGAATTTTCAGATGTTATCTGTATTTAAGAGACAACTATATATTTTGAATATTTTATTATTTGATTGTTTCACACTTTTCATATTTCATAATTTTATTACTAGGTGGAGGTGATGTTATTGAGACTTTGGGCGGCCATAAAACTCCTGTTTTGAAAGTTGTCCTCTGTACTTGTTTCACTGACCCACGCTTTATAGCATTTATACATTTCGGCCCATTTTATATGTTTGTTCGACTTGCTGTACATTTGTATATTTGCTATTTTGTAAAAGTTTCAAATCAAATCATGCAATTATCTACTTGAAATGAAGATTATAGCAAAGGATATAATGATATTTGATATACAGCAACTGAACAAGAATCATTATCGGCGCCAAATTTCTGTTTCTATATTGAAAGAATATAGTTATATAAACTTATAAAGGTTGAAAAAAAGCCAAATGCACTAGAGGCCGGAAATCGTGCGATCATGTAATGGGCCTAAAGCAAATGCTCAAATGATTAAAGGCAAGGGATAGCAAAGACGCGGGTCTATAACGATTAGAAACTAATTATTTTATTATAATTATAGAATTGCTATGTATTGGGCTGTGATTGGGCTGATGTGCTTTCTCTATTTTAGAAAATCTAAATAAGGTTAAAAATCAATTGAGATGAACCCACTTTTACTTTTTTTACAAAAAGTGGATGGAAAATTAAAAGAACCCAAACCTCAAATAGAAACCACTCCTGACCGTCTGCAGTCTGCTGATAAAACCACTGAATACCAACGGAACCAAGATCTAACTCTGATAGATTTGTAGCTGTGGAGTCTTGGAAGGTGGAGGAGGCGTCTGGGGCGGTGGAGGGGTTTGTAGAAGAGGCCTCTACTCGGCAGGTGAGAGTAAGTTCACTGTCTTGGGGGAGGATCAGAAACTCTGGAGGATACTCTGACAGTCGGATACCTGTGAAGTGGTGATCTCAAATTAAGTGATGAAAGGGGTTTAAGCAGAGTACTGTTCGAATGGGAAGTTTGCATTACTATTTGCTTTCATCGGTGGATTGGAAGAGTGGCTCAATTCTTCAACTATAAGTTGAAAGGACAATTAAACAACTTATGAAAACTCCGACCTCTACAAATAAAAATCCTATCAAGTTTTCAAAACTAGATATGATTTATATTTGTGTTTCAGCACCAAAAAAACGCCATTGTGCCCTCAATACGATACATTTTTATCCGATATAAATATTGGTAGCAAATTCTCAACAACAAAGTAAATTACTCACCAACAACGAGTCGGAGACTAAGGTACGCGGTTGCTATGAAGAGAGTAGTAAACATCGACATTCTGCTTCATCTGTAACTAAAACAAATGAACATGAGTTAAAAAGCCTGGAATTCTGCCAAAACGTGACGCATCATCGTACATATTAAAACTCTTGCAAAAACAGCTCTGTGATGAAATGAGCTGATCGGATATCAAATGTGATCATCCACGCGTGACGGATATTAAACTATAAACCAAAACCCAACAATAAATCTAACACTATAACAACTGAATAACGTCACACTAAATACTGATAAGCAGAGAGGATTAATAGTAGTAAAACTGGCGACCTGTTTTACACCAGTCCCGGCAAGAGCTAGTCGTCTAGGCGGACTATACATCTGCTATCATATATTTATATTTCAACATATTATGATGCTTGTTGAAGTGACGTTAAGTCAAATATGCTAACTATTTGTCACGTGGGCGATACGTGTAGTCACGTGGGCGCTACGTTTAGTCACGTGGGAATTTTGGGGCGTAGGTTGAGGCGTGCTGCGTCATTTTCAGTTGGGATGGTCCTTTTCTGGAATCAATTCCTGTCTGGTTGATGATAAAACGTATTTAATAAAAATAAAAAGACTGATCATATTAAAGTTGCTTATTAGCTATCAAGTTATCAAGTTATCAAGTTATTAGTAATTGAACTAGCTCTTCTAAAGTCAACAAAGTTGAAGTTGATTCGTGCATGCTCATTTCCTTACTGCTTCCCCAGGATTCTGAAATTGCCTACTTAGACTACAAATCCTTCATGGTTGTTTGGACGATGGTCTACATTTTTGATGGAGGTTTAAATTTTGGAATCGAGAAGTGTTCTCTTAACGTGTTCTCTTAACGTTATCTATATCTATCTAGAGCACTAAGCAACGATATTAAGTTTGAACATATTTGCACTTCCTGAACGATTAAAAAGCCAAAAAAGAAAAAGCATGCACAGAATAAAAACATTATGAATTGTTTATTGATCTGAAACTGGTCAGCTGACAGGTCCACCATACAAGTTTTGGCACTGAATCAGTCGACTTTAACTAATTTCCAAAACAATCGTGGGAAAAAACAAAACGATAACATATCCGTCGCCTAAACAGTTAGTTAACTTTAGCTCCCATGCGCGACTAGATTGACCAAAATATTCGCCAACAGTATTATAATGCAAGAAACGGAAGACCAAACAGCGATTATATAAGATGCCACAATATTAATAACAATCAAAGATCACAGTATGAAAAGTAAAAGTCAGGTGATATCCTAAAGAGGTGGAAGTAGAACATAGACCTAGAGCAGATGTGAGCATTACAGGTGACATGTTTATTTAATATATCCTGAATTTCCACGTACAGCTCTTTTTGGCCACTACAGTTTCCGACAGAATCCTAACCCAGTTGACCACCTCGGTACATGAACAATTTGTCTGCATCTCGTTGTCAAGTGGTGGTCACGTGGTTGTCATGTGGTTGTCACGTGTCTGTAAAGACTTGTTCTCATTGGTCTGACTAAGTCACACGTGGGCGCTCATCCGTACATTTGGTGCTGCTGCTTGAAAGTTGTGTAGAGAATGATATTCTGTGAAGGTCACACCTTTCTAATGAAGGTTAGGAAAGTTTATCAATCATCAGTGTAACCATCACTATCAGTGACTAAGATGGAGTGATTATCACGTGGGCGCTAAGTTGGAATGTGAATAAACACTCCGCAAGCATTTGGAATGTGAATTGTGACTGGCATGCAGCATTCTGTCAGGAATAGTCCAGGAATTTATCAAACCGTTAGGTTACTTACTTATTGATAAAAGGGCTGCTGGGAAAGGTGCTATTTTGAAGAAGCAGTCAGTGACCTTAATAATCATAAATATTAAAATCCGGCGAAGGTGTTATAGGTGAATGGTCGAGATCAATCGTATTAAAGGAATTAGAGTAATTTAATGGGCAAGGTGCTTCAGAATTATACGAAAACTATTTTCATAAGGAGTGCTCATTCTTAATCCATGATCTCTTATCATTCTTTACTCGGCGTTAACTTGGTCTTGCCTTCATTCCGTTGTTAAAACTTAAACCGTCTTCACCAAGTCATAATATGCCTTAAACCCGTTCTCGACTATCCGTAACTGTAGAATGTAAGGTAGAATGAAAGGTTGCTCCTTAGCTCCTTCATAAATAAATCGTAACCGCGTTCTCAAAATGAGGTTCGTCTACAGCTAACAGCTCAACTCGTTGTACTAATTAGTTTACCGCGTGTGTGAATAACCATGTTTTACTAGTTACTACATCCACTTAAACCTTTTTGACGTCACTTGGAGGTTTTCTTTGACACAAATCCGATTAAACGACGCTTTCTTTGTAACCATGGTAACACATGACGACGCTTTCTTTAACCCATTACCAGTAGACCATCCTTCACCTTCGCTTGGCCAAACAAAAACTGCTACTGCTAGCACATATTTTAGCATTCCGGAAAACCTCGTTAACTGCCGTGAGCTTTTCCTTGCTCGGGCTTGTAAAGTCACGGCCAACCAATTCAGTTTAACTGCGAGTAAATTCTATTGTTTTCCTAATTGTTAATTTGGTGTGTCCTTATAAATATTTGGTATCATTTAAAATTAGTGAAGGTTAATTTTTGTGGGACAAATTTGTAGCTTTGGTATTTAACTTAACTTAAACTAGAATTTGTAATTTTATAGTTTATGTTATAGTTCAGTCGGACATTTCGGCCGGTTGATCGGGGGTTAATTTTGAGCGAACCATTTCGCTCTCTTGCGCGTCATTTCGCTCTCTTGCACGTCATTGAAGATTATTAAGGAAATATTTCCCATTATCACAATTACTAGAAATATGAAAATTGAGGGAAATCCGTCGGATCTTCGGCACTATCCGTCGCGGAGTAGAGTCCGCGGCGGAGCCGCCGGACTCCGAGCGGACTCCGGCGGTGCTCCGCCAAAATATATTTACACTGGACTCGAGTACATTTTGGCTCTCCGCCGAGCGGCTCCGCCGAGCGGCTCCGCGGCGGCTCGACGGAGTGTCCGCCGCGGACTAAGCCACTAGGCGGACTCCGGTCCGCCGCGGACTCCGGCGGAGTGCTTGGCGGACTCCGCCGGACCTCTCCGCCAGACTTGAATCCGGCGGAGTCCGGCGGAACTTGGCGGAGTCCGCCAGCTCGGCGGACTCCGCTCGGAGTCCGCCGGACTCCAACAGAGTCCACTGACTTCCGACCTCCGACTTCCGACCCTCGGCTAAATTTGTCACGTGACATACAACATAGCATTTTGCAATATTGTGGTCAGATGAAAAGGTCACTAGTGATAAACCTTAACCATTACCCTCACAATGTCAATAGTGTACAACTCTAGTCCTAACTTTGACCCTATAATGTATAGACGTTGACCCTAACCCTCCACCAAACCGTCCGCAGCGAAATATCAATGTCATTGACTGGTCACGTGACCAAAACAATTTTTGTCATATTATCTCATATAGGGAAGCGTTTTTAGTTTTACCCTACACGTTGCATGTGGCGTCATTCGGCCGGATCCCAGCATGAGCAAGCAAAAATACGTCGACCATCACAGGACGACGCCAGCCAGCACTCTCTACGCTCTTCGAGCTCTAGCTGATCGTCCTGTGACGAAGTAAGGACGAAGCCTGAGGTCCTCAGGTAACATCGACCACCGATTGAAAATTCAAAGATTTTTTGACATAAAGGTCAAATGTAAAACTAAAATCTTGATGTTGATTGATTGACGACGTCAATTTTTGAGCACAGCGCGAGCGCATGCGGAAAAGGACCGCGTAGCTAGTCAAGATGTTGATAAATATTTGGCTTGTGGCGCGATGTGTTGCTCTAAGTATAGCCCTCTCGCTTGCAGTAGCGTGCGACCGCCGGAAATGACTTGTGGAACAAGCGCGCCCGCAGCGGCGCGAAAGCACCTGGTTAGCTAAATGAACGCGATGTGCCTTGCATTGTACTTGTAGGATGAAATCCTACTAGCTGACGCCACTCGCAGCTGTGATGTTCGCTGTACGTCAGCGATCGAAATTTATACGCGTATCACCCGTTAAGATGTGCCACCCGACGCGCCACGCAATTTTTCTCGTTGCTCGTCGCACGTCGACGAACAACGAAGCTCGTTGCGACGCGCAATGAGCTGCCAGGCTAGGACATCGTCCTGGTCCAACAAATTTTGGCGAGCGCGAGCGATTTTCTCCAAAAATTTAATGAGGGTGCCGCCTTCCACTCTGGCTAGGTTTCTTCTTATAGGGGGTGCACGATAAAAATAAAGTTGCTTGGATTTAAAAAATTTTTGTACCACTGTTTTCTAATTCTAGAGACTGTGAGAATTTTCACAATACCAAATTTGTTATACCTTTTTGGAAAGATCAATGAGTTTCGCCTAGGTGCCATATTTGATGGTGCGCGGCTTTTCGAGCAAAAGGAGCAACACATCGCGCCACAAGCCAAATATTTATCAACATCTTGACTAGCTACGCGGTCCTTTTCCGCATGCGCTCGCGCTGTGCTCAAAAATTGACGTCGCGTCGTCAATCAATTAACATCAAGATTTTAGTTTTACATTTGACCTTTATGTCAAAAAATCTCTGAATTTTCAATCGGTGGTCGATGTTACCTGAGGACCTCAGGCTTCGTCCTTACTTCGTCACAGGACGATCGGAGCTCGACGAGCGTAGAGAGTGCTGGCGTCGTCCTGTGATGGTCGACGTATTTTTGCTTGCTGGGATCCGGCCGAATGACGCCACATGCAACGTGTAGGGTAAAACTAAAAACGCTTCCCTATATGAGATAATATGACAAAAATTGTTTTGGTCACGTGACCAGTCAATGACATTGATATTTCGCTGCTGGCGGTTTGGTGGAGGGTTAGGGTCAACGTTTATACATTATAGGGTCAAAGTTAGGACTAGAGTTGTACACTATTGACATTGTGAGGGTAATGGTTAAGGTTTATCACTAGCGACCTTTTCATCTGACCACAATATCGCAAAATGCTATTGGCTATGTTGTATGTCACGTGACAAATTTAGCCGAGGGTTGGAAGTCGGAAGTCGGAAGTCAGTGGACTCTGTTGGAGTCCGGCGGACTCCGAGCGGAGTCCAAGCTCCGCCGGACTCCGCCGGATTCAAGTCTGGCGGAGAGGGCCGGCGGAGTCCGCCAAGCACTCCGCCGGAGTCCGCGGCGGACCGGAGTCCGCCTAGTGGCTTAGTCCGCGGCGGACACTCCGCCGAGCCGCCGCGGAGCCGCTCGGAGTCCGCGGCGGACTTTAAAGTCCGCTCGGAGTCCGCTCGGCTCCGCTCGGAGTCCGCCAAAATGTACTCGAGTCCAGTGTAAATACATTTTGGCGGAGCACCGCCGGAGTCCGGCGGCTCCGCCGGAGTCCGCTCGGAGTCCGGCGGCTCCGCCGCGGACTCTACTCCGTGACGGATAGTGCCAAATCTTCACTTAAATTTTAATCTAAATGAAAAGTTTAACATAAGTTAAGTCATTATATCGTTACAGTCTTACTCCCTCTCTACTCTTAGAGCTTTAAAAGAAAGTCTTACTCCCTCTCTACTCTTAGAGCTTTAGAGGAAAGTCTTACTCCCTCTCTACTCTTAGAGCTTTAGAGGAAAGTTTTACTCCCTCTATACTCTTAGAGCTTTAGAGGAAAGTCGTACTCCCTCTCTACTCTTAGAGCTTTAGAGGAAAGTCTTACTTCGTCTCTACTTAATGCTTTAGAGGAAAGTCTTACTCCCTCTCTACTCTTAGAGCTTTAGAGAAAAGTCTTACTCCCTCTCTACTTAGAGCTTTAGAGGAAAGTCTTACTCCCTCTCTACTTAGAGCTTTAGAGAAAAGTTTTACTCCCTCTCTACTTAGAGCTTTAGAGGAAAGTCGTACTACCTCTCTACTCTTAGAGCTTTAGAGGAAAGTTTTACTCCCTCTCTACTCTTAGAGCTTTAGAGGAAAGTTTTACTCCCTCTCTACTCTTAGAGCTTTAGAGGAAAGTCTTACTCCCTCTCTACTCTTAGAGCTTTAGAGGAAAGTTTTACTCCCTCTATACTCTTAGAGCTTTAGAGGAAAGTCGTACTCCCTCTCTACTCTTAGAGCTTTAGAGGAAAGTCTTACTCCCTCTCTACTTAGAGCTTTAGAGGAAAGTCTTACTCCCTCTCTACTTAGAGCTTTAGAGGAAAGTCGTACTACCTCTTTACTCTTAGAGCTTTAGAGGAAAGTCTTACTCCCTCTCTACTTAGAGCTTGAGAGGAAAGTCGTACTACCTCTTTACTCTTAGAGCTTTAGAGGAAAGTCTTACTCCCTCTCTACTCTTAGAGCTTTAGAGGAAAGTCTGACTCCCTCTCTACTCTTAGAGCTTTAGAAGAAAGTCTTACTCCCTCTCTACTTAGAGCTTGAGAGGAAAGTCGTACTACCTCTTTACTCTTAGAGCTTAAGAGGAAAGTCTTACTCCCTCTCTACTCTTAGAGCTTTAGAGGAAAGTCTGACTCCCTCTCTACTCTTAGAGCTTTAGAGGAAAGTCTTACTCCCTCTCTACTTAGAGCTTTAGAGGAAAGTCTTACTCCCTCTCTACTTAGAGCTTTAGAGGAAAGTCTTACTCCCTCTCTACTCTTAGAGCTTTAGAGAAAAGTTTTACTCCCTCTCTACTCTTAGAGCTTTAGAGGAAAGTCTTACTTCGTCTCTACTTAGAGCTTTAGAGGAAAGTCTTACTCCCTCTCTACTCTTAGAGCTTTAGAGGAAAGTTTTACTCCCTCTCTACTCTTAGAGCTTTAGAGGAAAGTCGTACTCCCTCTCTACTCTTAGAGCTTTAGAGGAAAGTCTTACTCCCTCTCTACTTAGAGCTTTAGAGGAAAGTCTTACTCCCTCTCTACTTAAAGCTTTAGAAGAAAGTCTTACTCCCTCTCTACTCTTAGAGCTTTAGAGGAAAGTCTGACTCCCTCTCTACTCTTAGAGCTTTAGAGGAAAGTCTTACTCCCTCTCTACTTAGAGCTTGAGAGGAAAGTCGTACTACCTCTTTACTCTTAGAGCTTTAGAGGAAAGTCTTACTCCCTCTCTACTCTTAGAGCTTTAGAGGAAAGTCTGACTCCCTCTCTACTTAGAGCTTTAGAGAAAAGTTTTACTCCCTCTCTACTCTTAGAGCTTTAGAGGAAAGTCGTACTACCTCTTTACTCTTAGAGCTTTAGAGGAAAGTCTTACTCCCTCTCTACTCTTAGAGCTTTAGAGGAAAGTTTTACTCCCTCTCTACTCTTAGAGCTTTAGAGGAAAGTCTTACTCCCTCTCTACTCTTAGAGCTTTAGAGGAAAGTCGTAGTCCCTCTCTACTCTTAGAGCTTTAGAGGAAAGTCTTACTCCCTCTCTAATCTTAGAGCTTTAGAGGAAAGTCTTACTACCTCTTTACTCTTAGAGCTTTAGAGGAAAGTCGTACTACCTCTTTAGTCTTCACTCTTAGAGCTTTAGAGGAAAGTCTTACTCCCTCTCTACTCTTAGAGCTTTAGAGGAAAGTCTTACTCCCTCTCTAACCTTAGAGCTTTAGAGGACATTTTATAATTCATTATTTCAATTGTAGTTCTTAAATTGCTTTTATAACAAACCCTTTCCTTTAAGTGCCTGGTTATAATAAACTACTAGTTACCATAGTTACACTACTAGTTACCATAGTTACACTACTAGTTACCATAGTTACACTACTAGTTACCATAGTTACACTACTAGTTACCATAGTTACACTACTAGTTACCATAGTTACACTACTAGTTACCATAGTTACTCTACTAGTTACCATAGTTACACTACTAGTTACCATAGTTACACTACTAGTTACCATAGTTACACTACTAGTTACCATAGTTACTCTACTAGTTACCATAGTGAGGTTATAATGATGAGCCTAAAGTTCTTCACACTTCTACTCATCTGCATGAAAGTAAAACGAATTAATTCAGATACGATTATCAGTAAGTATATGTAAAAACATATTTAAAACATAACTTCTTTGTATTCTATTTGTTACGGATCGTGCCCTTGAAGTTCGCTTACAACTATTGGAAATCGGAATCGAATTCTAATAAATTCTGTTTAACTGCAAATATAAGGTACTATTTGCATTCCATTAGTTACGAATTAACATTAAAAATAAATACTTGTGTTTCAGTTCCCATCCGAGAAAGCACGGACGTGTGGGAGGTAACAACGTACGGCACACACGTGGTAAACACGTGGCGTAGTAATTACGACATGTGCAGGTCACGTGGTGCTCTACTTCCGGAGGTGTACGACAAATACATGACCGAGCAGGTTCGTCACTTTAAATAATTACCTCCCCCTCCCCCTCCCCCTCCCCCTCAAATACATGACCGAGCAGGTTCGTCACTTTAAATAATTACCTCCCCCTCCAGTGTGCAATCAATCTTTTCGCTTGTGAGTTGATATCAGTTGTCTCTTATCAGTAAATAGGTAATTGCACTGCCTTTTACTGTGCAGCTTTGCTATACACGAAGTATACACAATATGGAATTTTCGGTCAGTACACTTCAACTGGAGAAACAGATTGAGGACTTATCAGACTCGGTTTTAGCGAATCTTAATTGCAGGAAACTAGAGGACCTCACTCATGACTTGTTCAAGCCAAAAGGCGTTACAAAGGATGTAATAACCGAAATAGTTTTGAAGATGGGGTCTATGATATGTAAATCGAGAAATGTTTTGAGATCAGCAGCAGAGACGCTTGACCAACAAAAATCAGAACAGATAAAAACTCAGAACGAGCTCATCCAATGCAAATCTGGTAAACTAGCTTCAGTGAAGGAGACAGTGAAAACAGAAATGAAACTGTTTACAGATGTTGTGAAGAATAACAGCGTAGCTTCTGATATCTCTCCAGCTAAAATCAAAATGGCTGTGAAATCGGCGATTACAGAAGATGATCGGTCGAAAAACTTTATCATCTTCGGGGCCCCAGAACAGCTCGAATGTGAAAAGCAAGAAATGAACGAACGGGATCTCGTGGGTGATATTTGGGGTTTTATGAAGTTCATTGGAAGGCCGACTATAACAAACATTGAGAGAGTGGGAGTAAAGAAGTCTGACAGCCCTCGATCACGGCCGATAAAAGTTACTTTGCGAGATCCTGAAATTGTACGTGAATTTCTGAGCAGAGCAAAAGTCTTGAAATCGGTTGATGTGGCAGACTACAATTTCAACTACAACAAACTCTACTTATCTCCAGACAGGTCGCAGGATGAGCGAATCTCTCGCCAAAAGCTCGTACAGGAAATGAAAGAGGGAATCAAGAAGGACCCGAGCAAGAAATATTACATAAAAAACAATAAAGTTTGTGTCGCTGAGTGACTAATTATTTGAGAAAGTCAAGCATTTGTGTATGTGTGTGACGTTAATTTCATGGAGTTAAAACTTTTTGTATAACTGAGAACAGAGGTTAGAGGAACTACTGATAAGAGTATGATTAGACTGTGTTGCGTTATCAGTTGACTTTTTGCATCACTCTTCTAGTTTATACGTAATAGGGTAACTTAGTTATAGAATAGGATTTTAGTTGTTGCAAGCATTGCACTAAGGTTTTAAGTTAGGTAAGTAGGCCACGAACTGTTGAGCAAACTGGGCTGGAAGCCCAAGCAATATGCAGTTCTGGTCTTGAGGCTATTTTACAATGTTTTATAACATGTGCTTGCAACTAGATCTTGAATGTCGCGTGCCCCACGGGGTTTTGATTTATTCATACAATTTATTATATATTCGTTCCAAAGCCCTTATGGGTACCAGCAAAAACTGGTTTTCAAACAAAACAAACCTCCTCCCCCTTCCCCTCAAATATATGACCGAGCAGGTTCGTCACTTTAAATAATTACTTACCTCCCCCTCCCCCTCCCCCTCAAATACATGACCGAGCAGGTTCGTCACTTTACATAATTACTTACCTCCCCCCTGTATGGAAAATGCTTTGTGGTGTTACAAAGTTACAAACAGTGCACTTGTCTGAATCTTAAACAGATGAACTCTTGACACACGCTGCAACCCTTTTGCAACGTGTAGCAATTGAACTCCCATCTAATAATTTTGCTAAAACATCGAGAAAAAAGAAGCCTATTCCAGAATGTTGAGCTTGCTCACACACGTTCCACAGGTTAAGAAGCTTGCTGGAGATAAGGGACTATGGCTAGGCTTACTGTACAGCAGTGATAGAGAATACTCCTGGGCTAGTGGAACTCAGCTCGCCTTCACTGATTGGGCTCATGGTTTGTTTATTATAGTCTTACTGTTGACTAATGCTCTAATGTTAAAGTTGGATAGAACGTTAATTGATAGATCATTCAGTCTATTCGTAGAGATTATGTTTGCAGCAAAAAGAGCACATAGACTTTAAAATATCTCCATTTAAAAAAGAATCATGAACGAAAGACCATCTTACTTGACAAAACATTGAACCCAATTATAATTCCCACATTTCAGGTTACCCTCTCACTGGTTCCAGTTCGTTTTATGCTGTCCTGTCTTCGGATGGCCGCTGGAGAACAACACGAGGGACTGCTGATTTGGGTGCTGCTTGTATGAAGAGAGTGACGAGACAGCCGATTAAAGAGGAGAAAGAGGAGGAGCCGAGGAGACTGATAGCTAGTAGAGATGAGGAGGAGACGGAGGAGGATGTGCAGTACAAACCCAGGAGTGAGTTTTATTTATGAATTTTAGTTAACCTCTGATTGCTATAATGGCCTATGCAATATTGCAGCCTATAGACTATTATTATTAGGTTTTATCTTCCGATTTGTGTCTAAATGATTGCTCCTCAGCCACTTGAATCTACTATTATCTCCCTTATCAGTTTATCTGGACGGTATGATCCTGCACGTGGGGGAGAAGCCCACTGATTGGCTGTCAGCGTATTATTACTGCAAGAAGAAGACGTTAACCCTTTCTGTTATACTGACTCCAGGTAAAATTATATTTCAACTGCTGGGTGGGTTTAAGTTACCGTACAATATGCATTAAAGTATTAAGCTAAATAATAAATAAGTAATCATTAAGTAATGAAATAGCAATTGACCGCTTAGACAACGGGTGGAGGTGCGATATATTGATAAGTAAGCACAGCAGATGGCCTGTTTGACAGGCAACCAATTAAACACGTAATTATGATTCTGGCGGTGATGAACACATCCCTCTAACACATACATGTTAAACAAATCGTCTGTTTCGAGAGAGAGTGAAACACACTTGGAGAGTGAGCAGCACTTTGTGTGCTCCTCCAGCGGATTGACCTTCCAAATTCAGTGCAGAATTTGAGTATGCGATTTAAAAGTGGAGTTTAAAAAAGGTCTGATAAAGACAGGGATTAAGAGCTAGAGTGGGTGATGCTGGAGATAAAGAGGGTGGAATGGAATATGCTTGCCATTACACCGCAACACAGCGTCAAACTTGACACGTCAATCGTAATCTGCTTATCTATCATCAAGCATCAATCGAGATTTAATATCGGCCTTATCTATCGTTAATTGGTATCGATCAAATCATATTCCCATTCATTATATCATAGAGGGCGAGATTATGTTTTTATCATCTGATAATCGAGCATAATACGCATAATTCTAACACTTAAACTGTATTTGAACAACAATTAAACTGTATTTGAATCATTGATTTTAACAAGTACAGTTTCATTGATTTCGTTTAAAACTCGATTTAAAATCTCGATCATACTCACATATTATTTTATAATGTTGCTATGTAACACTATAACAGAACATCTCGATCAATATCGATATCAATGATTATTGATCTCAACAATTATCGCAGAGTTTAACGCGAAGTTGACAAAGGTTGCCAGGCAACTGAAACAGCCGTTATGGTTATCCCTGGTAGGGGCTGGAGGAAGGTTTTGGTGGATGAACGGGGTCCAGTTCCAGTTCAACCAGATCTCCCCTGACTACGATCTGACTGGCAGGGACAGGTAACTTAAATAGTGGGCCGTTTATTAGCCAGTTTTGATGGTTTTTAGCCAATATATGCACTGTGTTACACGAACTAGGGCTATAAAGTAGATTAAAAGATTTAAAAGCTAGATGACATAGTTAAACGTGACCATACAAATAAAGGTAGTCTGAATTGTGGTAACCATGGTAATGAAGGTAGTCTGAAGGTAGTCTGTATTAAAACTTTTGGTAGCCGTGGTAACCGTCATTACCACAAAACCAACACTTTGGAGCTTGGCAATATTTTAGATCACACCAAACATGTTAAACTTTGTGGTTTAGAGAATTCTAAATGGAATTTAGCGAAGAGACGAGCTCGGCTATGTTGAATCAAACACACGCTTAGCAGCCACAGTTCATGTTACGCCGCTGGGTGAAAACGTTGTTTTTGGTGCAATTTGAGTGGAATAATAAATAAGTGCCAAAACTCATTGCAATTGTGTCATCACGCTCGTTTTTTAGCATGTAGCTTAGGATTTCTAAGCTTAGGATGGCTTGCGAGTGCTAATGAACCAAAGAGGATTTTAAAATAATTTTAATACAGCTGGTGCCCCAAAAACGCGACCAAATTATTTTTGTTACATCGACTCTGCAACAAAGTTCTATTTTGCTCATAACTTGAAATTTAAAAAAAGCTGGTATCCAAATTCCAGGGCCAGGGCCAGATTTTGTAACAATATAAATAAAATTAAATAAATAGTACCAACTAACGATTATTAGAATTAAAAACTTTTGTTTTATTAAAGTACTTAGTAAAGTAATTAACGAATACCCACTGCTCCCGCAGCACTTACACCTTGCTAAAAGAGGACGGTAAATGGCACGACAGTTGCCCTGGTGGACGTGAACCTTGTCTACTAGGTCTACCTCTGTGTGTAGAGATAGCTCCAGAGGCTACTGCTCACCCTGGTTACAATAGTGATGTGGGAAAACAGGAAACTACTACCTACTACACTGGTAAGGAGAGGGGATTTTTGCTATTAATTTATTGTAATATTTCCTGCCTGATGAGAGATTGACGTATCGTTGAGAAATCATGCGCGTTGACCAAATGAAATATAAACAAATAAAACGCTAAAACCACCAGGCGCCAATAATCACATAGCAGCTGTGCTGACCAAATGCCAATAGAAATGCGGTGTTTCTTTTTTACTTTTATTCGCTTTCCTCCCCCGTCACATCTGACGTGGAATGATGCAGCTAATAATGCAGCTGTCAGGCACAGTTTAATTTTTATTGTTCGCGTGGCAGACGTCTATACTCCCTTACGTATTATTAAGCATGAAGCGTTTCTCTAAGTGAGAAAGATTAATGATTTCTTTCAAATAATTGCGCAATGGTTTAGAGAAACAAAAGAAAGTTTTAACGGGAGAATACGTCTTCGCAGAGGTGTCTGGCGAATACCAAGGTTCCAAGGTTACCAAGGTTACCAAATACCAAGGTTCGAGGGATTTTCAACTTACACTGCCCTCATCTTCCCCTCTTATAAAGATTACGTATCCAAACAGCGTAGCTTACACTGAAAATATTGTGACAACTGAACAGATCGCAAAAATGGAATACATTGAAAAAGCCCCAAACGTATCAACACCTAAAATCACTGAACCAAAACACTATGGTGAAACTATCAATGAACTTGCTGAGGAAGAAGACTCTGCAACCGAAGACATTGATAGTGCAAAAGAAAATGTAGTTACCGAGGAAATTGTTGTTACCATGAAAAGTGTCGAATACATTGACACAATTGAAAACAAAGGTATCCCTAAACCCACTATACCTCAAAATATATCAGCAACTACAGAAGAAATTTCTGAAGTGGAAGATACGGCAAGAAAAGACAATTCTAGACTTAGAGGTACTACTCATGCACCCGACAAATTCTTTCAGCAGAAAAACAAGCAGGCTTTAATATTACCACCAACAATTATTAGCACTATTGGGTTCAAATATCACCTCAGCACGTTTATTTATTACTTTTATTTGTCTTCCTCTTCTGACCGTCTGACGACAAATAACTGTCGAGTTACATTGCTCCTTTATAAAACTTTACATTTATTATTCGTTCCTTACGTATTAATAAGTAAGCTGGATTTTACATATTTTACAAATTTTACAACTTTTATCGATCCACAATCAATTGAGTCGTGTATACATACGCAATATTATACAGTTATACAGACTATATAGCACTGATTTCCGTTTTTGTTGTCGCCTTCTAGCGCTAGTTGTCGCGTTTTCGCTATCGCAAAAGAACCTGCAATCTTATACAGACCATATAGCACTGATTTCCGTTTTTGTATTTATATTAGCACTCAGTAATCAGTTTAGCAAAGCAATATTCATCACGTTTTTAAAATCCCTCTTCCATGCAACATTTAGTCAACAACTAGGAATTTAAAAGATATGGTAATTAAATTATCATTGCTCCTTTATAAATTGCTTCGTTATGAATGTTCTAATTAATCCTCAGCTCCCACTACTATTATGTATGTTTACATTGCTCCTTTATAAAAGTTATGAATGTTCTAATTAATCCTCAGCTCCCACCACTATTGTGTATGTTTACATTGCTCCTTTATAAAAGTTATGTATGTTCTAATTAATCACCATCCTCAGCTCCCACTACTATTGTGTATGTTTACATTGCTCCTTTATAAAAGTTATGAATATTCTAATTAATCACCATCCTCAGCTCCCACCACTATAGTGTATGTTTACATTGCTCCTTTATAAAAGTTATGAATGTTCTAATTAATCACCATCCTCAGCTCCCACTACTATTATGTATGTTTACATTGCTCCTTTATAAAAGTTATGAATGTTCTAATTAATCACCATCCTCAGCTCCCACTACTATTATGTATGTTTACATTGCTCCTTTATAAAAGTTATGAATATTCTAATTAATCACCATCCTCAGCTCCCACTACTATAGTGTATGTTTACATTGCTCCTTTATAAAAGTTATGAATGTTCTAATTAATCACCATCCTCAGCTCCCACTACTATAGTGTATGTTTACATTGCTCCTTTATAAAAGTTATGAATGTTCTAATTAATCACCATCCTCAGCTCCCACTACTATAGTGTATGTTTACATTGCTCCTTTATAAAAGTTATGAATGTTCTAATTAATCACCATCCTCAGCTCCCACCACTATAGTGTATGTTTACATTGCTCCTTTATAAAAGTTATGAATGTTCTAATTAATCCTCAGCTCCCACTACTATTATGTATGTTTACATTGCTCCTTTATAAAAGTTATGAATGTTCTAATTATTCACCATCCTCAGCTCCCACCACTATAGTGTATGTTTACATTGCTCCTTTATAAAAGTTATGAATGTTCTAATTAATCCTCAGCTCCCACTACTATAGTGTATGTTTACATTGCTCCTTTATAAAAGTTATGAATGTTCTAATTATTCACCATCCTCAGCTCCCACCACTATAGTGTATGTTTACATTGCTCCTTTATAAAAGTTATGAATGTTCTAATTAATCCTCAGCTCCCACCACTATAGTGTATGTTTACATTGCTCCTTTATAAAAGTTATGAATGTTCTAATTAATCACCATCCTCAGCTCCCACCACTATAGTGTATGTTTACATTGCTCCTTTATAAAAGTTATGAATGTTCTAATTAATCACCATCCTCAGCTCCCACTACTATAGTGTATGTTTACATTGCTCCTTTATAAAAGTTATGAATGTTCTAATTATTCACCATCCTCAGCTCCCACCACTATAGTGTATGTTTACATTGCTCCTTTATAGCCCCCTCCCGGGTTGCAACATTGCCATGTTACGCAAATAATTGCCGCGCTAACGAAATATTTGCCATCTTAGCAAAATATGCGCCGTGTTATGATGTATTTGCCAGGCTGCGCGTGATGATGCAAATATTTCATAAGGAGGCGAATTTTACGTTAGGAAAATGCGCATTCTTAGCAAAATATTTGCCAAACGGTCTGACGCGCGCTGCACGCTCCTTTTTAGTTTGTTTACGCGAGAATGAAATCTTCGCATTCTTAGCAAAATATTCGCCTCCTTATAATTTATTTGCGCGAGAGTTAAATCTACGCTTTCTTAGCAAAATATTCGCCACCTTATAATTTATTTGCGCGAGAGTTAAATCTACGCTTTCTTAGCAAAATATTCGCCACCTTATAATTTATTTGCGGGAGAGTTAAATCTACGCTTTCTTAGCATAATATTTGCCGCCTTATAATTTATTTGCGGGAGAGTTAAATCTAGCTACGCTTTCTTGGAAAAATCTTTGCCACCTTATATTTTACATCACTTCATTTGTGATAGGAATTAGGATCATATGCTGCTTACGACTCTGCAGTGGATCACATACTGTATACGTGGATTGAACTGAACCGAAGGAATTATGATCAGTGGATCGAAATACATAACGTGACCGACGAATCGCGTCCACAAGATCACTTCGAAATAAGTAATAATGACGAATCACTTGATGAATTTATGATCCAAAAGAAGGATAGGATCTGACCTGAACTTGGAAATAAGATAGGATATTGTGTCGCACTGAATATAATAGAGTACGCTACCTGGATTGTAGTGCGACACATAGGTACTGTAGTCAGTGTAGTGCGAAAGATTACCTTTATAGTGTTAGCAGTTAAAAATCTAAACTTCATCCCGTTTCAAATATCAAACCACAGTACGAATTATTGCACTAATGCCGGTTATAATGAGGTCTAAAACACACGCTCAAAGTTAAAGTGTGTTTATATTTACCAATTAAACTTTAGTTGATGTTAACTTGTTAATTATAACTGTGTACGAGTACGACTACCTACCTAACAGTAACCGCTTCGATTTGTTTAACAAAACATCATTTTCCGAACTAGAGTGCGGTACCTATGACTTAGACTTTACTCCGCTAGAAACAACAAAATTTAAACAATTGGACAGTAGCGAATCTACCTAGTGAACTTTAGTGTTAGAACTTAGCGGTGACCGACAACTAGGAACCTCTCATTCCGGCCTCCCACAGCTAGGTATCACATCACATGGCCCAATCAGTGACGTATCATTTGTGATGTGAAGTATTTGTGTTTGAGAAGTGTTTGAGCTCTCGGCATGTGTTCACATAACGGACGTGAGCCAGGTCCAAAAGGGGCTGGTTCTCGTATCCAAGGATGTGAGCCGAGCATGCACTGAAGCGGAAAGCTGCTGAACAGCCCAAGGCAGTAGAGCCAAGGCGTCCGGATCTGCACAGCACTCTGAAGCGAAGACCTCAGAAGAATTCCTCCTTCCTTCCACATGCACCTCCACGAGACGGGACGAGCCCTTTGTTATCTTCGGCGGGAAGACAGATCGGAATGTACGAGTCGTTGCCTTCTCTACAGCCCGGAACCTTGCTACGCTGGCATGGTAGCAACTGGATTGCAGACGGCACGTTTTACGTCGCCCCGAATATATTCACCCAGAGCTATACGATTCATGCTGTTATTGACCAGAAATTTTTGCTGTGAAATCAGTGGATACCTGAAGATTGAGAGATGGACGCCTCGAGATTGTTCTACAAGGGCCCCCGACTGTTTAAACCAACTTCAATCGGTGTATTTTCGAACGCTGATTCCGATTAACCCCTCATATGACATCGATCACGTGATATGACCGTAAGTTGACCCGAACTAAAGTCAACTACCTTCAGGACACGCACTGAAGTCCACCAGGAAAATATATTGAAAAATCTATTTTGTCAAATTCGAAGAAAACTTTTTGTGAATTACCTAAGTTATGTTTGTAAACAGTAAAATAACTAATTCGTCAATCATGGCATGGATATGCAAATGATCCAGTTTTTCTCTAAACTTAAAACTCCGTAATATTTTAAATCGATTTACTCGCGCATTCTTGGAAAAATAATTGCCAAACAGTTTGACGCGCGTTGCACGCCCCTTTTTGGTTTGTTTACGC